TATGAGAGTACTGGTTAAGTCTATTTCTAAGAAGGTGTCACTATACTTTTTGATGCAAATAGGAGAATTAAGAATATCCATCAATTCACTTCTCTGGCCTGTGGCCCAATTAAAATACCATGGTCTTGGGAATGAACCAGTAGAGAATACATCCAAGACTGAATTGAGATATTATGCTAATTTACATTAATTAACATATCTACCGGACACATATTATATGCTAGGCATTATGCATAGAAGGTGAAAGTCTTTCCTGATTGCCCCAGGTAATCACTAGTACCCTTCTTAATCCTGTTTTGCAGAATTTCCCACAGACATCTTTGTATGTAATTATTCTCCATTTTGAATATTCCTAAAGAATGTGGTGCTCCATCAGTCATCGTTTCACTATCTGCCATTAGCACAGTGAAATACAAGAAAAAATAAAATTTCACTTTCCTAGAGTGGGTTCTGAAAACAGAACTCTTCCTTAATTTTTTCTTTTTTTTTTTTTTTTTTTTTTTTTAGGGATCGAACTTGGGCCCTTGTGCTTTCAAGGCAGGCGGTGGAACCACTAAGCTAAATCCCCAGCCCTACTTTTTTCTGATAAATTGTCTTTTCTGAATTGGGCATTAAAAAGTGTCTAAATTTTCCTTATTTATATCATCAAATGTGCTTTTGCTTGACGTCAGATTCAAGGAGATTATGAGAAAATGAGAGACAAAGATGGGAAAATTCACTAAGATTTCCTGAAATCTTTAGGAAGCAAACATGTAACATTCCAAAAATTATGGCTGTGGGTTTCTTTTTGAGCTGTGTTCTGTCTGTGAAACCCCATGCCACCTGGGTCTAATTGCCAAAGCCAGTCCTGGGGATGTTGAATCTATAGGGTCATCTGCAGAGTTCAATCAAACCTCTTCCCCTTTCTGGTAGGTGTAGAGGTGTCTGTTGTGTTTTGTACAACAATTCACACTGCTGTTGGCACTCGGCAAATTATATATAAGGAATAAACCTGCCTCCTATCAGCTTGATGGAAAGAAGCTGCTTTCCAAGCTGCAAATCGAGAGACGGTCACTGCCGTGCTCACAGTTTCCCAGAATACACAGATGTGTCATCTTGCCACAGAAATGGGAAGTAGTTATCTGTGCTTTACAAGGCCAGATTATTCCTGATCTTTTTTAGATATATTCAGTGTGCTATAAGCAAGTCACTGTTCTCTGGGTATTGAATCGGCAATCTTACAAGGAAGAATTTCAAGTGCTCTGCACTGGGAAGGAGACTTTGATTAAGAATAAAAAATGGTAATACAAGTGGATGTTACTAATTAGAGTGCCGATTCAATTCTGTTCCCTCTTCACTTCTTTTTCAGACAGAATTCAACAAAAAACAGTGAAAAATTAGACTGTCAATTACTCATTTTCAAAGACCTGTAATACGGTTCCTTATCGAACTCGGGTCCTCATGCTTGCGAGGCAGGCGGCGGAACCACTGAGCTAAATCCCTGGCCCTTCATCTTTTTCTTAAATTTATGGTCCTTTCAAAATCACAGTTACCACCTGCAGTGGATTAATATGAAAGTGATACTCTGTATTAACACACATTTAACCCAGATTATTAAAGAATCATAGATGTAGAATCCTTTAATACATTGATGTACAAGACAGAACATTAAATAATTTTCAGTGTCTTTTAAAAATCAAATTCCAATTGTGTTACTTCCAAAAAGGGGAAAAAAGCTAATAGTTTAAGCCTGTTTCATAACAATTATTCTTAAACTTTCATATCAGAGTCAACTTCAGAGCTTTAAAAATAACATAGATGCCTAAATTCCATCATAGACCTATGGGAACTGATCTTTAAATATATACTCTTGTGGTTAAGACTTTTAAAAAGCTCTAAAATTGATACTGTTAGACCAGGTTTAAAGTGTACACTTGTAAATCACAAGAGTCTATGTTAAGGTCAGACAGCAAGCCTACTTTTTGGGGGAGGGGCAGTGTCTCTATGTAGTTCAGGCTGTTTTTGAACTGACGATGTAGCACAGCCTGGGCTTGAACTGGTGTGATCTTCCTACGTCCACCTCCTGAAAGCCAGGATTATAGGCATGCACCATCATGTCTGGAAATAAGCCAATTCTTACTAAACTGTCCTTAAGATATTTTATTGTTGTCTTTTAATATATGTAATACATAATATGTAAAATTTTTAATATATAAAAAATCCACATATTTAAATTCAATTAAAGCTACATTGAGAGCCTTCAATTTGGGTTTTAATTTGAAATGCTAACTATGTATCTTTTGTTTCAAAGGATATAATTTAAGATGTATGAAAGAATGAAGTTGGACTTTATACCATATGTAAAAATTAACTCAAAATACTTCAAAGCCCTAAAGGTAAGACCTAAAACTATAAATCTCGTAGAAGAAAACTTGGAGAAGGGCCGGGGATTTAGCTCAGTGATTCTGCCACCTGCCTCAAAAGTGCAAGGACCCCAGTTTGATCCCTGGTACCAATAAATAAATAGATAGATAGATAGATAGATAGATAGATAGATAGATAGATAGATAGATAGATAGATAGATAGATAAATAAAAGAAAATGTAGGGGAAAATTTCAAGACATTAGATTTCCCAAGGATTTTCTAGATGTGACATGAAAAGCACTAGCCAAAAATAAATAAATAAATAAAGTAAAAATACCCAGTAAAAAAATATTCCATAAGAATAGGTAACTAAGATCATATAAACCCTTGTAAGGAACATTAAACTCATATGGCTTGTGCTGAGCAAACAACTGTTTTGCCTATTTATTTCACACAGTTACTAATGTTCACTGTACATGATGTAGGTTTTTTTTTTTTTTTTTCCTTTACTGGGGACTGAAATTGCAAGGTAGGCACTGTGCCACTGGGCTACATCCCTGGCCCATGCTGTAGTTTTATTCTGTTTTGAGTTAGAAAAAGAGAGCTCACTGTCCATTGAGGCCTTCAACTGGAAATATCTTAGTATGCATGAAATAGAACCCAGCTCTCATCATCAGAGAATTAATGCTGTGTATCAGAGACACAAGCAACAGAATGAAATGTAAGAAAATATTTACAAATTTTATATCTGATAGAGGGCTAGTACCCAGAATATTTAAAGAACTGCAACTCAACAACATAAAACAAAGTAACTTAAAACAGGGCAAAGAATTTGAATAAATATTTTTTCCAAAGATAATATATTTGTTCAAAAATCACTAATCATTAGGGAAATGAAAATGAAAACCATGAGAGAATATCACTTAGTGTGGCCATTATAAAAGAAAATAGCAAGTGTTGGTGATGGCGCAGATAAAGGAGATAAAGGAGAACTCTATGCATTTGCAAGGACCGGAGTTTGATGCCTGATACCAAAAGAAAAAAAACCCAGTAAATAATTCACAGTATAAAGAACAATAAATTCAAATTCTGGCAAGCATTTAGATAACATAAAAAACAGGAAATTATAACTTTCTGCTCTTCAAAATGCTTAACATACAAATACAAAATGTTATAGATGATACTGTTGTAATTACTATTTTTATTAATTATTATAATTTGTTATAAATATACAAAATACAATATAGTGTTAGAATATTTAAATGTATAGTTTTATGTTGCTTCAAATTAATTAAGAATCTGTAGCCATATATAATTTTGAGAGTTTTATGCCTCTAATATAATTTCCCTTTCATTTTTACTGAGGGTGAGAATAACCATTTACCCAATATTTAGTTATTCTCTGAGGTTCTCTCAAGCTGTTGAGCACCAGCATGTATCATATCCTGCCTGTATGGAGAATTTAATTCCAACATTTAAAGCCTAGTAAGGGTCATTCATCTCATATTTAGAAGTGAACGTTTTCTCTAACAAATTCTGTGGCATTAGATTAGCGAATGAAGTACCAACAAATTAGCAGGTTGTGCCTAGGCTGAGCAAAGACCTGTATTACCCATTTACTTACACAGTTGCTGATACTCAACGTATATGTTGAAGTTCTATTTTGTTTTGAGACAGAAAAGGAGAGCTTACTATACAATAAAGGCTATAGTGTCTGTGATTAGAAAACAACTTAGTACACATGACATAGAACCCCATTTCTGTGTATTTTAATAGTAATTTCTTCCTTAGAGAATACTTGTGATGTAAAAATCAAATTCAAATTGAATCTGAGTAAAAATTAAAATCTAAATTTAACTTCTGTAAAAATTATAAACCCTTTAGTGTATACCAAACAAAATATGGAAAATGTTTTATAGAAAAAATACTTGAACCATCTGTATCTTTTAAACTTGTATTAGTAGTGGAGGAAAATAATACATCATTTATTGAATGCATACTGTGAATTCTTTTTCTTATTTTAGGTGTTCTTAGATCATTTAGCTAGAGAAATAAAGGTTTAAAAGAGTATGTAATTAATTCCAAGCAAACTGGTTCACATGTAGAAGAGCTGAGCTTAGAAAATTTTCTCTTGACTTTAAAATGTTTTGCTCTTAACTTTCATAGGCATTATATTTTCCCCAATATTATTATATTTTTCTTTCTGTCTTTAACTCGGTGGCAGAAAAATCTTCAAATAAGTGTATGTTACACGTGGTGAATTTTGGGAAGATAAATCCTAAATTGAGTCTCCAGATATGTGCTTATTATTAAGTAAACTTGTGACATATTGAAAAATAAAGTATTTTATTTAAAATCTCTGATTTGGCAGAGTAAATTCCAACTCTTTTAAGCATATATATTATTTCATATAATTGAATTGTCTTCTCAACCACTTAAAATCTCTAGAAATAAATTTCTGTCTTTTAATAAGTTATCCAGCGTAAGGTATTTTGTCATAGCAATCCTAGCAATATGGAACAGCTACCATTTTTCACATGTGAAAACTACCTTAAGTGGCACTGTGGTAGGAAAACAAAGATGCAAAGATCTGGACTGATGAAGCTGGTCTAACTACTTAAAAGAGAATCTGAGTAAATAGGAAAACAAGTCTTACCTGAAATGTGTCAAGTGTCTCTGGATGTCAAGGTCTAGAATTGGAGTGGGTCTGGAGGATCCCAGTGGTGATCTATCTTGGCTCAGGAGGTCTTGGAACTCTTTACAAATTTGCCTAAAATGAAAGATATATAATTGAAAGTGAACTTTTAAAATGGGGTTGTAATTTCATGACATGACATTTTACCAACATTGACTCTGTCTTTTAAAAAAGGACAAGAAAAAAGTGCATCTAGACACCTCCGAGGTTTTACCCACAGTATACAATTGAGGTTCGCAATGGTGACTTTTGCTCCAAAGGATTGTAGCATGATCATAAAGCACACACAAAAATAATAATAATAATAATGCTCCGTGGGCACTAACAAAACCAATGTTCATTTGTAAAGAGGATATTCACAGATTAACTTCAGGATAAATGATAATTCATCAGAAAGGATTATAGAAATTTCTCTTTAAATTATTACAATGCAATTTTTTTAGGCCAACACATCTGTAAACAAGCTTCACTAATGCTATAGGCTAACTTCATTCCAAGTTACAATTAAAGGAGATTTTGGGAAGTTTTACTTTGGAATTATGATTCAGATTCCCATGGTCTAATTTTGTATTTTAATATTGGACGTAAACACAGAGAGGTAGAACTTATGCAACTGGTGAGTTGATCTAGGGTAGAGGGAGAGGGGAGAGGTGGGGAAGGAATGTAAAAAGGATTTAGATGTAATCACATATATGTACCAACTCCCATGATAAATGTATTATGTATCACAAACATGTACTGATTAAAAAAGTCATTTGAAGTAGATAATTTCATACCCAAGGTTTAGTCACTAGCCTCACAAAAATTAATATTTTGTCCCATGTAAGCTGATTTCTTGCAGAAAAGACTCACAAGTACATTTATTATGGCTTTTCTTGTTTCAAGTGGTTATGTTTTCTGATTATTGGTTTCAGTTGAGTTAACAGCATTGTCATGTGTGTTGGATGACAGTAAAGTCTTTGTGATACATAGTGCAATGACATAATTTTACAGAAAAAGAATATATAGTAAGACTTTTTTTAAAAAAAGAAGAAAACACTAAATTAAAGTTAGCAGCAGAAAAGTGAAGTCAAGAACTATCAAGAAACTGCTCAAAAGCATCCATGATTCATAGTAAAGCCACTCCAGATGCAACAGGCAACATAGTAATTAGTAGGTATTTTGTCTGTATGGAGGGCCATCACAAAATATAATGATGTAGCCTTGATTACGATTGTCAACAAGTACCAAAGGGTCAAATTATCTACAGTGAATATTGGCCAGCCACAATTCTGTTGTAAAGCATTTGTGCCTTTCACAAATAACTATTAAAAAGTGACAAAATACATTGAAGAATGAATAATTTATGATGGAATTCAAATCAGAGGAAATATTAGATCTCTAAAATTTATTTGATTCTGCCAAAGACAATTTATGGTCTTTTTCTAAGGAGAATGAGCCTCTGATTTACTGCCAGTGCTCAAATATTATGTCATTTCACAGAACTTGCCTTATTTGTTTTTACAGAACACAGATGAAAGTAAACAAGTCCTTACATGCTTAAATAAAACAGAATGCCTCATATCTCCCTGTAGTGTTTTGGTTGATTCTCTGAGACACAGCATCTACATGTATGATTTTAACAAATGTGTATGTTCACTTTCAGTAAGAATATTTGCTCTGAAGTCCTCATTTCTCTTCTCAGCTGGCTAACTTCCAGGTGAATTGCTACGTTTTAGTAGCTGAGTGTGACTTTTCTCAAGTATTTGATGCCATTTTGTGGGGCATCATCATCTGCTGTGTTTTATGTTATTTAAGAACTAGATACATTGTTATCTTTGTTTCCTGAAAAATATATAATTGCTCATTTTTATGGCTAGCGATATGAATTTCTGAGTAGTAGCTTATTGCTATCATCCATTCTCACAAAGATAGATCAGTCTTAATTTTCTTGCAGATTAAAATAAACTTCAAAAAAAAATACAGATGGAAACACTGCTTTAGTTCTTGTGGTATAACATCAGAATTAGACTATTAAATAAACTAATTTATAAATCGACAAGTGAATTTTGTTCTTATATAAACAGTACAGCAGGCTATAAGGAAGTAGATGAAGAAATAAGGAAAAGACAAAGTGTGGAAAAATTTAACCCATGCTAAATAATTCAACTACACCACACGTGCATCTCTAACAGGAGGAGTATTAGAATTCTCAACCTTTAATGGTCATTCTGCTGTTTAATTCACTGACATAGAATAGCTCTCAGACGTAAATACAGGTGACAAGCCTGTAGATTCCCCATAGGCAGTTACCACTATTATCATAATATGACGGTTAGAGAATTATTATTTTTATAAGTAACTTCATTCTTATTTAAATTTTATTTATAAAGTCATAATAGGAACTGTTCTCATGTCTCACAACAAAATGACATATTTATGAGTTATATAACACAAGAAAATGTTTGATGAATCATACCTTCTAATTTTACCACTTACATTATGTCCTTAAATGTATGATTTTTTAGCTGATTTCTAGATGTGAAGTTCTGTGCTTCTTCTACCGACAACTATTATTATAATACTCAACTGAAAATGGTTAACTGTTCTGATTTACTTTAGTTTACATAAGATGTGAACCATAGTTAGTCTTAAATTCAATTAAAAAGTTTACATGTGTTTTCTATTAACCAAATAAATATTTTGTCCGATACATGGTACATTCTAAGAATTCAAAAGTTGTCTCTATCTTTCCATCTAATTATCTAAATTACTCTAAAACACTTGGTTAATTATAAAATACTAGAAATACATCCTAATGAGATAATTAACAATGTGAAATAGGAAGAAAAGGGCTAAAGGTGTAGGGAAAATGGGAAGGGTAGGGGAAAGGGAATAAGGGAAAAGAAAAAATATGAGAAAATGAAAAAATGGAAATAAAGTGTTTGTAAATGGGGAGGGAAGGAGGGGGTGAAGGGAGGGCAGGGACAAGGGGAAAAAATGAGAACCAAGACCTGTCATGTAAAGGTACAAGATCCCAATAATGAATGTAACTGTACTGTATACCTAAAATGTACCAATAAACTCAATTAAAAAATAAAATAAAATACTAGAAATATAGAAGTAGATGACCAATGCACTTAATCAATGGCCCTTTATATTCTATTCAAATTTAGCTGGATTTAGTGGAAAAGAAACATGGAGGCCAGCCTGACAACGACAATCAGTAACTAGGTGTCTCACGAAGTCAATTTTAGATTTCATATATATTTTGATAAAGTTGAAGTCTTATGGAAAAAAGTCTTATGAAGATGTAGTATATAATAATTATCTATGTAGGCCACTTAGTGCCAATTTGGGGCATTTTAATTGATGAAAATATCCAATGCTTTACTATAAGTGGAAAAGTAGAAACTACTCAAAACACATTGGGTCTGTTTATACTTTGAAAAAAATGGCAAGTTATCCCACATAGCTCTCAATTTACTTACTTATATTGATTACCTCTTGTATTGTATATATTGACCATGACTGCATAATTTCTGGATCTTTAATTGTACTTATATAGTAGCTAATAGAAAAATGAGATCCATATAAAAATACAGAGATGGGAATTACGAAGACTATCTTAATTTGTAAATGATTATGCTTACTTATTAATCCATAAAATAAGTTAGAATGGAAGAACAGTGTGTGAATGTCTAGCTGTGTAAAAAGGGATAAAAAACAATTACATGCACTCTCAGTATTTTATGAAATAAAAATTCAAATTATCACTCAAAATAATATACATTGTAGCCAAGCATGGACACATACACACACACACACACACACACACACACACACGCACACACACACACCTATAATCTTGTCACTCTGAGAGGCCGAGGCAGAAGATGGAATATTTGAGTCCAATGTTGGTAACTTAGTGACTTAGTGGGACTTTGTGTCAAAATGCAAACAAATAAATAAAAAGGGCTAGGGTTGGTTTCCAGGTAAAGGAAAAACACTACTACTACCTGGTTAAATCCATTACTCAAACAGATGACTTAGAATAATGGGCAGATCTGGTAGCATTATTTTTATTTTTTGAAAACAATAACTCATTATCAATTTGAATGCAGGCAGACTCTCAAACACTTCCACAGAGAGATGGGAACTCATAGGAAAATGAGAACTTCTGTCTCAAGTTGTTAGAGGTGAACAGTTTACACAAGAGAGTTTCTTTGGGTCATAAGTTTAAGTCTTATGATAGACATGATGAAACCACAACCAAATAATTTCAAGATAGAAAATACATAAGTGTTTTCCCTTAGGTAATTTGTGCTTTGGGATAACAGTAGCATCCAGAGGTATCCCATGGGTATGTCTGTTGAGAACTCTGCATGATGCTGCCAGCTGCAATGCTGTTTTGCTTCAATCAATTGAAGATACCATCTAACTCCTAGCACTGAATAATTCCCTTGATGTCTTTATCTTTCTCCTGAGATTACATTAGTGATTCAAACTAACCAACTACAAGCACTTTTAAGTCCCCATAAGTATTTTTAATTCTATCTGGAGAAACTGAAACATGATGGATGAAGATCTTTTGGGTCAAGAAACTATTTGAAAGAAGAAAAGAGTGCAAAGCAGAAAATCAAAGACCCCCCCCCCCAGAAGACGGAAGGATTCCCAAGGTACAGATTTAGGACTTTCTGTTAGTAAGTTTTCAGGTGCTCGCACAGCATGTTTACTGAAAATTTTTAAATTTTGTAACTGACATAATTTTCTTTCTGTCTGTTGGTCTTCATTCTCTTTCCTCTTCATTCTTTTCCTCTTCATCTCATTTTTCTTTTCTCTTCTCTTTTTGCCTCCACCTTTTTTTCTTAATTTTAGGACAAAATGAGATAATTTTCTAATACTTTTAGAAAAGCAATACACAAATAGAATCCAAAACTCAAACCTAGAAGGCACAAACAGTGCACAAATCCCAAGTGAGAGACTCAAGACTTTCAGACAAGCCTATTAGATGGTAGATGTCCTGCACAAACCATTAAATCTCAAGACAGATCTATATGACCTTAGAAACTGATAAAGAAGGACCATTTAGTTTTGACTTTATTAAGTTTTAGTCAATCTAAATTTCTGCCAGCATGTTATAAAGTTGGCAGATAGTTATTTTTGTGTCAATTTCTATGGAATAATGTTTTAAATTCTTTTATATGGTTTCTCTTAATGAGTTTCCTAAATAATTTACATTGATAATATAACCACCTGGAACTATCACTTTTAAAACCTGAATATAATAGAGTTAGAAAATTGTTTAAGATTATTAGTGGCCTATATGTAGCAATACCTTAATTCAGTAAAGAACGATAGCAAGAATAAATTATCACTTGAAGGAATTTCCTCTAAAAGTTTTAAATGTGACTTACAGAGATATTAAGGTTATGTTGGGTTTTCACATAATGAATGACAGTTTTCCATAAGTTTTAAAGGATTTTCAAGTCTGCAGGACTTAAAAGTCATCTTATGTAATCTTCTCTTTTTCTATTGTACAGACACATTTGCCTACATTATTTGCCTTTTTATTTTTATTTGTATTTTACCTGTGTATAATTTTTAGAAATTTTTGCATAATTGTTTTAAAGAATACTACCATGGTAAGGCCATGCAAGGATGGCTTGCCTAATTATTCATAAGAGAAAATGAGGACTGTGATAGTGATCCTGGGCCCCAGAGGTCTCCTCATGGTACTTATACCTCTGAGCTCTCATCTTTTTTTATTTTTAATATTCCCCAGGGATTTGTGGTGTTCTGAGACCTTTGTTCTACAAGAAGGTTCAGCGAGCTTTAGATCTTAGTCTAAATTACATAGCACCACAAACACATCTGCGTGGAACTTAGATTTCCTAAACATTTTCTTCCTACTTGGTATTTCTTCATATTCTGGAGAGGTTCTCTAAGAACTTCATCAGCTTCATCAATAGCCTCGTCACTAATCATAGGCATATTCTAAATCTAGCCTTGAATAAGGACAAGTAGACAATTGGTTTAGTATATTTAACTGTTGGAGTGTGAGATCCCAATCCTATTCTTTTAGAGAACTGTGCTTTCTACACTGTTTCCCCCCCTCATTCAGAAAATGGAGCAAGTGGGAATGAAGGTCCACTGAGTCTTTTGGATGCTTTGGTGCTTACTTGGTTGCTAGGATCATCTTTTTCCTTGCTGTCTGTTCCTTCTGTTCCATGTGTTGTCTGGCAAGGTGTTCTCCTACTGCTTTGGCTGGAAACTCTGTTTCACACGTGTAGCCAAAGTCCCGAGCCAAGTGCAAAGCCTCCCCTGTGGGCAGAAAGCACAAGTCAATACCTTTCCAATGTCAACATAATAATAATAATATACAACCTTTTCCTCTAGGGTCATTCCTGGCTGTGGACAGAGGGATCATTTTTCCCATATATCCTAAAGAATACAAGAAAAAGACTGTTCAGTGAGGAAGGGAGAGGAAAAGTGGAGAAACAGAGGTAGGTATTCTATTTCACTCTTCTTATGATGCTCTGGTCTCTATACCAGGGCGAATTCCAAAGTAGTACACATTGATTCTCAAAAGCAAAAGCTCTGTGGACGTATCATTTCATTGCTGCTCAGCCTACAACCTACTGAGCCCCTTATATCTGAGGTGTTCTGTTCACTTTTCAAAGATACTGATCAAAATGCTTAGCAAAGAGTCCAAATAACTTTATAATGTAATTGGAACACTTTGGAAAGCAACTTAAATGAATTCACTTCCATGATACTACCGTGATAAAATATATTATGTGAATATGAAATTAGGATTATCAGGCTTCCTGAAGGCTTCAGTGCATTGTAGTGCTATGTGCAATGCAATAACATATTAAATAATATTTTATTTCACAAAATAATAACATTTTATTCTTAAAATTCTTAAAAATCAAATAAATTGTAAAGAAATGAGGTAAAAAATGCCTTATCAAGAAAATAAGACTTCATGAAGGAAATAAATCTAAAAAAAATGTAAGTATTTTAAAAGCTTATTCAAACTACTTGTGGGTATGGTGGTACATGCCTGTGATCCCAGTATCTCAGGAGGCTGAGGTAGGAGGTTCACAGCCTGGACAAATTAGTGAGACTTTATCTCAAAACTTTTTAAAAAACATAGAAAGAGCTGGCAATGTAGCTCAATGGTAGAGCATCCCTAAGCTTGATCTCCAGCACTGCAACAAAGAAAAGGGAAAAAACTTTCACTGGATATATAGTAAGCATCAGCTCTGTTCCAGGCACAGTGTTGGTGCGAGTAACAGTGATGACAATGGGGCCCCCCAAATCGCTGCATCTCTAAGGAGAGGACAACACTGCAATAATAATAGCAATGTGGATAGCACCATAATCTGGGCATGTTCATTTACATAGCATTGTACATGGAATGTGGTAATGCAAGTATGAAATGCATATTAAAATATTTTTCAGAAGTTCAAAGAGTACGTGGTAAATATATGTAGGTGATCCAATAGCCACAGAGCTAATTACATTTGCCATGAAGAAACAAGAAGTAATAAAAAGTAAATAAAAAGTAATCAGAAAAAAATCATAAGGAGTTTGTTTGATGATTGGCTAAATAGCATTATAAGAAATGACAGAATTTGATCTCTTTTTATGCATGTAGAATAACAGAGTACCCAATTAATTATACCAGGAATGAGTAAAAGTAATTAATTATATTGAAGAGAAGAAAACTTTTATAGGTGTGTGAGATAAGTATATAAACAGGCTAGTTGATGGCAATAAATATTTTTAGTAGAGTTATTTTCTTCTAGAAAAAGAATGTGTTTCAGACTAGAACAGTCATATTTATAAAGAATCTTAATGACTATAGAAAACTGGAAGATTTTAGGATATTATAAAGCTTAGAAAACACAATTCTGAGAGTAATTTATCTCTTAAATTACCTTTGCTTTTCTACAACAAAAAATTCTAAGAGGAAAAATGCATAAATTAATTCCTAAAGATTTTTTTCCAAACATTTCTATGAAAAATTCCTAACATATAGTAGTATCGAAAGGATTTTACAGTAGTGAATACTCACATGTTCATCCTTAATATTATTCTAATCTTGCTTTATCATATATTCCCCATTTCTGTCTATCCATCACCAAACTATATTACTTTTTATGCATTTCAGAGGAAATTGTAAATCTCAGTATGCATCTTCTGAAAAATTTCATCATTAGTATCAACAACTGGATTCAATATTTGTTTATAGTCTTTTTCCTCTAAAATCTTTAACTTCAAATATTTTTCCTGATATATATTAGATATATATTAGAGAAAAGAAAAAACAAGACAAAGAACTCTAATGATAGAGTTTCACATTTATTTTTTTCCATTCTGGGGATGTAACCCAGGCTTCGTGTATGCTAGACACATGTTCTATCAGATACACCCCCTCAGCCCTGTTTGAGTGCTTTATGCCTAATGACTAAATAAGAGCTGTCTACCTGACAGGAACGAACATCTAGGCAATGAGATAGAGTGCTGTAACATATATGCAGACATCAGTTAAAATTTTGCTTTGAATTTTTAGTGTGTGAAAATTTTAACTATCCAATCAAAATTAGGCTCTTGCATTATGCAAGTACTGTATGTTAAATTTTTGTTACCAACAGACAGTAATGTTGCCATTATTTTTTAATCCTCTCATTCATGCTATAACCCTTTCGTTTTCATAGAGTGAGGGATCTGTTCCAGCCCTTTGCAAGAGTCTAACTGAATACGAAATAGTGGAACAAAATAATCAATTAATGTAGATAGTATTGTGTGAGCTAGCCATAAAGTGCTTCCAAACACATTTCAAATGAGCAACATCATGTCTTTGGATGAAATGTCTACATTCCTGTAGTAACTGTTTTGCTTATCCTTTATTTTTAACAGAGATGAGATGACACAACTAAACAAAAGGGTTTTTATATTAATTAGTATGAATATTGCTAGTTTAATGGAAGATAACAGTTTTGGGTAAAGTTGTGACATCCAAGCAATATTTTAAAGTATTTATTGCCAGCAGTTTGGCAGCCTAACAAACTAGGAAAGAAAAGGTATGCATATTTTGCAGGAAATATATGGTACAAAGATTTGTTTTAAAAGGTTTTGCAGGTCAGGGGATTTAGCTCAGTGCCTGCCTCACAAGCTCAAGGTCCTGAGTTCGATTCCTGATACCAAAACAAAACAACAACAACAAAAAGGACGTTGCAATGCCATGTAGGATGCTCACTTGGGCTAGGAAAATGTTATAGAGAGTCCATTAGAAACATTTTATAGATGGAGGTAAAAAATGTCAAAGCTTGACCCAGGAAATGACTCATGTGAACCTTAGGACTCAAAAATAGCTTGAAACTGACACAGTAACATCATCACTAGTGTCATCTTTATACATAGCTGTACACTGCATTGTTCACGTGTAAATAGATTTAGATAACATTTTAACAGAGACTATTACATATATAAACATTGAAAACAGGAGGATGGCAGTGTGCCTCTTGAATTTTGTGCAAAAACCTGATTCCTGAGGATCTGTCCCATTTTATGCAAAGCTCTCACTATGTGGCAGTTTTAAAACAGTTTGACTGGAACAGCTGCTATTTACATTTACACTGACAACCAGATCCTTCCTTCGCTTAGTTCTGTTTACTGCTTTCTACTGCTTGCGATGTAACATTGTTACAGGATGTATAGCAATGCGACATCAAAAGAATTGGCAAGTGAAGACACTATGATATGTAGTTAAAATGTGTGTATCATGCCAAAAAAGCTTTTTGTGTGAGGACCCAACAAAGAATGAATAGATCCATGAATTAAAATGCACATGATATTCAGAAACAATGAAATTGACAATGTGAAATAGGAAGAAAAGGGCTAAAGGTGTAGGGGAAATGGGAAGGGTAGGGGAAAGGAAATATGGGAAAAGAAAAAAATGAGAAAATGAAAAAATGGAAATAAGGTATTTGTAAATAGGGAAGGGAGGAAGGGGTGAAGGGAGGGTAGGGGTAAGGGGAAAAAATGAGAACCAAGACCTGTCATGTAAAGGGTACAAGATCCCAATGATGAAGGTAACTGTACTGTATATCTAAAAAGTACCAATAAATTCAATGAGAAAAAAAGAGCATATAACAGAAACAATGAAAAGCTAAATTTCAAACCTTAACAGCAGATTACTTAAAGTACAGTTTTAAGGAAAACACAAATTTTAGGATCAGAAAAGTATATGAATGTGCATTTAAGAGATTTGACTAATTTTCTAAAGTTAAGACCTATAGGTTTATCTCCATTTTGGGGGTGGGACCATGTGACCCTATGCGTGATGACAGGTGCAGTAATCTGTGGTGGAAAGGGCATTCAAGGAAGGATTTTTTTTCTATTTCCCAGAGTGGCTGCTGTCACCTCATTCCTATGAGAGATGAGGCACGATGACCTAGTTCTTTTTTTTCAGAATGGACTTAGGCTTTCTTTTATTTCAAAGTATTTTGCTGCTTGGACAGCCTACCCTTTAAAAAAAAAAGCAAAGAAATCAACTTTCACATATACACCCACTTTACTTCATGTCATTTCAAGAATTACATATTTTAGAAGTAAGATCCATGGGTGTTAACTTAGTGCAACATCCAACACCATTAAATAAAAGCAATGATTCGTGTTTAAAATTTTAGTTGTGTCTGTGATTTCAGTTTTATTTTCATGCATAGGGAAAGACGACATTCAAACCTATGGGATTATTTCAAGAAGTACCTAATGGAAATAAAATTTGAGTATAATTTAAAACCTGGACAAGACATTATATTAATGTCAGGCATAGTGGTGCTCACCTGTAATCCCAATTATGTTATTATTATTATTATTATTATTATTATCATTACATACCGGGGATCAAACTCAGGACCTTGTGCTTGCAATGCGGCCTCACTGAGCTAAATCCCTGGCCCTGTAATCCCAGTTATGAAGGAGTCTCAAGAAGGAGGATCACGATTTGAAACTAGATGGGGCAATTATTGAGACCCTGTCTCAAAATAAATTTTTTTTTAAAAAGGGCTGAAAATACAGCTCAGCAATCCCTGGGTTCATTTCCCCAGTGCTATTTAAAAAAAAAAACACACTACAAATGATGTTGAATAGTCTTAAAATGTCAAACATGTAGAATTAGAGTAAATTCTAAAACTACAGGACAAGGTTATTATGTCCCTTATACGTTTTCTAGACTACCATGAAAGAACTTCACACTCTGTTACTGTATCTCATATGATTTAAGACATACATAGGTGTCTTAATATCTA